ATATTATATATTAAATTCTAAAATTATAAAAAAAAATTATTTTTCATAATTTTCTTAAATAATTTTAATATTTATATTAAATTTATATAATTATATATAAATTTATTATTGATTTTTAAGTTTAAATAATTATTTCAACAAAATCAATAGAATAATAAATAAATAACCAATAGAAATATATTATTAATATTAAAACAATATCATTAATACAATATCATTGTTTAGCATTAATAATAACAAATATCTATGTAATTGATGTTTTGCAACCTAACCTGAATTGTAAAGGGCCATATTATGACGTCAAGTTTAGATCAACACCACGACACGACGAAAATGCATATTCTTACTAGTAAAATATATATTTCTTTTTTGCATTACAATAGTATAGTTGTTTTTTATAGTGATGTGATAAAGTATTATCATTAAAAGTAATTATTTGAATAAATATTTGTATTTAATATTCATATTTTTTTGTAAAATCTTTAAATAATTAGAAGTATTCAGTTTATTATTCTAAATGTAAAGTGACTTAATATTATTGTTTAAAAATTTTTTTAAACTTTTTTTAATTTTTTATGTATATTTAAATTTTAAAATTTTGAAAATAATATTATTTTATTGTGATTATTTTTTATTTGTACATAATTTATTTATATCATGGAAAATATGATTTTGTATGGTTTCGAAGATTCGCGAAAATCACAAACAATATTAAACAAAATGCAATTGTTTCAGAAAAAAACAAATTAAAATTTGTTCTATCTGATTTATCTAAACATTCTTTTAACAATAAATTTGAAAGTAATTTAATTATTATATAAAAAATGACAAATTTAGTAAAAAATTTTACAAAAAGAGGTAAAATTTCAAGTTTAATTTTTTTTTTTATAGTAAGCTAAATGTCAATTTTTAGTTGAGTGCAAGGTCTTAAATCTGACGAGATTTGTAAGACTTAATTTTTTTAATGAGTGTCAGATGTTTGAAATTGAACTAGAAGTGGGGATTGGAAGGAGTGCAAGTGGTCGAAGGAACGATCGGCGTCGGGCGGAGTCGACGGCCGTCACAGTCGATATTCATGAAAAAGGATCAAACATAAAATATTGGAAGAACATTTGCAAAAAGAATTTTTATATTTCATGACTCAGTGACAGTGAATTTGAATATTGGACAAATTTGAAACTACATACAAAAAATGGGTAATTGTTTCAGCAGTCCAACAGATACAGAGAAAGAAAAGCCTGATAGAATAGGCAATCCAAATATAGAGGCAGTTGCATCTCAAGCTAGTCCAGTGCCAACACCACCTCCAGATCCTATCAGGCCTATGCCACAAATTCCAGATGCGGATGTGCCAACTGCAAAAATTTTTGTTGCACTTTATGATTATGATGCACGAACAGATGAAGATTTAAGCTTCAGAAAAGGTGAACATTTAGAAATTTTAAATGATACTCAAGGAGATTGGTGGTTAGCTAGAAGTAAAAGAACTCGGCAAGAAGGATATATTCCCAGCAATTATGTTGCAAAGTTAAAGTCTATAGAAGCAGAACCGTAAGTTTTAGTTAGTTATTTATATTTATATAATATTTATTATTTAAAAATATCTTTTTTTTAAATGTAAAATATTTAATTTAGAAACTATTTATTTTTATTGCAATAATTATAGAATAATAGATAATGAGTGATTATAAAATTAACACAAAGAGATTAGAATGCTAATCATATAAAAGTTTACAGTTATATATTCATTTAAGAAATAATAAGGTTATTATGTGTAAGAGATATTAAATATTATATATTATACAATATAACAATATATATAATATATAATAGATTGAAAAAATATAATAAATCTTAATTTATTTGCTTTTATTTATTATATTTCATTAATGGATTTTTGTTTATATAGTCAAATAGTCAAATAATCAATGTGATTTTTTTCCATCATTTTTTTCAATTATTCATAATAAATGTATTGGCTTTTTGATTATTACTAATAATTAATTTAAATCAGCAATATTTTCTTCTTTATCTTT